TAATAATGCACGCTATCGAAAATTTCGCATGCAATATTAAAAATATGGTATAGTTGCCCTGTAAAGCATGCAGGATATAGGAAGGTTTAATAATACACGAAATTGAAAATTTCGCGTGCGATAATAAAAATATGCTATAGTTGTCGTTCAAAGCATTCAGGATATATGAAGGTGTAATTATGCACGAAATCGAAAATTTCGCGTGCGATAATAAAAAAGATTACGCTATAGTTATTCTGCAATGCATGTAGGATATAAAAAGGTTTAATTACTGTTTTCATTCGGAGACAGCGAGTAGCTTTGGTAATATCAGTATCGCGTGGAAAACTGAAAGTTGACATATATTTTTGGTATAATTCCAAAAATCAAATTTGATGCACGAAGATGATGAGTTTATTGATTCCCAAATAATTAGAACAAAAAAATTACAAAAACTCGTATAGATAAAAGTGAAACACTGGTAGACTTTTCAATATAAGGAGGGATCGAAAAAGTGCTCCGATCCAAACCACTCTCAAAGCGTTTGTCTTTGGGCCCAAAAATGTCTGTGTACCAAAGTTGATTGAAATATTGATTGAAGACAAGAATTCATGGATACACATCACACGAACAGGCGGACAGACAAGCCTAGAGTAATTTAAAAATTGATTCAACGAAGGATAAGGGGGACAACGTCCAGAATGAAGTTTCAGAGATCCTACAAAGTACATATAATCTTAATCCGCACCAAATTCTGAATCGATTTAAGCACGGTGATGGATATAAAAGATTCGACTACCACTAAATATTATTTTGTTACTTGTTTTTTAACGCCTCATTTTTAAAAGTCATGAAGAGAAAAACAATAAAAAAACACTATAATGCGACTGGGCTCTCCGTTAAATACCCTAAATTTTTTTATTCTTGTCTGTCCTGGAATTTTAAAAGAATTTTTATGAATTTAGTAGTCTTTCGGCCCAGGGACAAACGTCACTGAAAATTGTTTGGTTCGGACCATTTTATAACGGCTTAATTTGAAAAGTCTGGCAAATCCTTGCAAAATGTGGGCTCTGTTAAAGGGCAATTAAAGTCTACGAATTTCAATGTAACGGTATAAACTTGGGCGTTAATATTTTTTTTCCGCATATTCAATAAGTGCTTCACTATAACTGACCAGTTACCGCTTTCAATTGGGCAACCTTTTCTTACCTTGAATGAAGGACTGGAAATGGAAAAATTAAGTACACGAATCAGTCAAAAAAACTGCTCAAATAAATTTTGATGATCATATTGAAAAGATTAAAGTAGATTTTGTAATGATGTGTTGTAAGGGCAATGCAAACGCATTACCATTCTTTTTAGAAAAATGAATACAATTATGCTACATTAATATTGATATTTAAATTTCTGAAACAACCCATAACGATGGGAACTACTTGATCATCGTGTTTGTAAACGACGTGGTAGATAAATGGATGTTCTGCATGGAATTTAATGCAGTCTGTGGAGCAGCCCGTATCAACTTCACCTACAGCTTCTCCTCCGTCTCCACTCTCCTTACCTTCAGTATTTTCCGAATAAAGATCTATTGCGGACTGTTGTGCATAGAGACTTTCGTGCATTGCTACCTTAGTTTGAAGTTTGCTTGCTGGCCGTTGAATAATTACGTCTGGGGCAGTCTGCGAAAGCGGATAATCTAAACCGGACTGAAGAGGAGGAGGAACGGTTTCAAAGAGAAGAACAAAATTGAGTTTGAATTTAGACAACTTACCTTAGAGATCTCCCCATCTAAATCCATTTCCTGTGTATCTTCGAATTTGGGAAGCAAAACGTCAACTTCTCGTTGAGACATCGAGGCTGCTATACTATCTAAAGACTTAAGTTTAAGTCTTTCCTCTAATTCGTCTAGTCCGTCTTCTTCGTCAGGCAGATACAACCACATGGATACATTTTCATTTTTAAAAGGCATCTCAACGACTTTAGCTTGTAAGTCAGTCATTTCGGCTGTGCGAAGGTTACTAACCTGGTGCATAAAAGCCATATCTACCTTTCTATTGTCGTCTGTACGAAATTCGGCAACTTTTGTTGCCTGCTCATCAAATGGATGCAACCAATCTGCGTTGATTTCTGTGTTGATTTCCACTAACGTTTCGGCTGGTGTCTGCTTATTACCCATAAATTTCTCAAGTTCATTCAAATTGCGTAAGTGCTCCTCTATAGCTTCCATCATCCAGGCTTTTGAGCTATCAATATGTTCGAAAGTTGCAGGAAATCTCTTCTTAAGCAATTGAAGTGTAGCGGGTTCGAGTTCACGTCCTTCGGGCAGATAAACTTTATATTCCATTTTTACAGCGTCGCTATCTTTGAGGCCGTCCATAATTTCACCAAAATTATCATCCGGCATCTCAGGCTTGTCACTAAATCCTAATTTAACGAAATCTTCAAAACTTTGCATAGCAAATGGTGAGTAAACAAAGTTGGAAACATTGTTACGCTGGCTCTGCTCGCTAAAGAAATCATCTGCAAATTGCTCATAACATGCACAGATTCCTGAGGCCTCAACGAATAGGTTATCGTTTCCAGCGAATAAAGCGAAGCCATTTAAAAGAAGTAAAACAATAGAATTTTTCCACTGCCGCTTAAAATGCACTGAAAACAATGATCGAAATAATGAAAAAGTATAGATTTCTCCTTTAATAAAGTCATCCTCTGGAGATGCCCTTTATCTATCTTTATTTACCATTTATTGACATCTTGTTATTTGATATTTTTTAAAATTCGCGATTTTCGGATTTCACCACAACAACGTTCAATACTCGAAACTGATAGATGGAGTAAATTGATTCTTATATTTATATATATTTCTTAATGTGGAACTTTCGTTGTTATGATGCGGAAAATATCTCATTAAGACCAAATAAAAATGTGTTAATGAAAAATTTTCTCCGGAAAAAATCTCATCATCTAAAATAGTATATAGAAAGATCAAGTTCGCTTTTATCATATTGTTTGAGGTGTAACTAAAAGCAATGCGCAAGAGCGTAAAATCAATTTGTTGCCATGCGCATCGCAAATTATTTCCACACTTTTCAAAATGCCTTAGGAAGTTAGATAGAATTTAAAAAGCTGAATGCGATTTCTCTTTTCCCGAGCACTGCCTATCGCTAGCTTAACGGCATAAATAACTCTTTAAGAAATTTAAGTTTTAAAATTGACATAAGTGAATGTCAATTTTCAATTTTTTAATTTCTCGTATGCTCTGCAAACCACTATTAGCAAGGAGTTATTATTAAAAAAAGTAAGATAAGCTCTACGAAGTCCAAAATGGGTACAAGCATTTTGATCCTTCATGGCTTCATATTTTAAAAACTTTTTTAATATTCTTTATTGCCTTTACTATAAAGTACAAGCGATACTTATTAAGCTCATTACGAAAAATTTGCTGAAATTGGATATAATCGCACTCACCGATGTATCTCGCTCTGTGCTATAAGCACTGTTTTATTTGATCCAAGGTAACGTAGTTAAGCTTAAATTAGCGAAAACATTCGTAGGCTTTTCAAAATAAAGCGCTCTATGGGAAATGATCGAGAAACTGGTCCGATTCCAACCATTTTCGAAAGTGTTCGTCGTTGGCCCACGCATGTCACTGTACCAACTTTCATCGAAATATCTGAAAAGCTGCGGTCTTTACGTTGAATGTAAGGAAGCAAGGTCGATAGGTGGACAGACAGATGGAAAAGAATTACATTCTGAATCGATCGGTATAATAAAAAATGCGTCTATCTTAGGAATTTCTGGGAGTTGCATGCATCCGCACAAATTTAATACAGCGTTATACGACAAATAGTGCAGTGTATAAAAATAAATGACAAAATAATGATTTTCGTTAAAAAACAAGAATATTATAGACGGGCAAGACCTACCATTAAATACCCTACACAAGTTCACCTAGTCCAGTTAACGCTCGTTTTGGTAATAATACGCCAAACGTCTTATTCTCATGCAAAGCCATGCTTTTCGTGAAAGCCCACATGTTGGAGGATACGTGAAACATTATATGGCGTGATCCAAATTTAGTTGATTCTCTAAAAATTTTGTTATTTTTCGGTTGCCACCATAACTAACTAGAAATTAGACTTTCTCTCCATATAACAGCTTGCTTTTCATAATAATCCCCACCTACGTGAGGGTCTAAAAAATAGACTTGAAATTCCTTAAACGTTGATTCTTTGACTAAATTGCTGCTAAGGAATATAGAGAGTTAAAGTTTTTTTGGAAGCGCTTACAATTCATAAGAAATCCTCTAAGGAGTTCAAGATCTATATGGTTCAAATTAGATCTACTTCATTTTTATGTCAGAATACGATCAAGAACAAGTTGTCATCACGCAATCTTCCCAATTAAGCATATAAGAGTTTAGTTCTCCTCAGAAAACCTATATGCAGTGGCATCCAAAAAATACACCTACGTAGTCCAAATTTGATAAGATTGCTTTCTCTATCAATTTACTTTTATGAACCAACTTTCGCCATGAAATATTCAACATTGGATCTTTTTACCTAATACAGGTTTCAGTGGTGTTTTTATATAACATCTACGATTTTGTATCGAGAATATTGAATCGATCGCTATGGCTTTAATAAAGACAAAGAAGAATATTTTATTAATGGTCGGGAGAACTTTGATAATGAATTCTATGCGAAGGTCATCTTAATTTCCTGTTGCAAAAGTGTAATATTCGTCTGTTTTGGTCAAAACTAAACCGCTAAATTATAGTTAGCTTGTCTCGAAACCTTTAACACATACCTACGTGTCATTTTGATAAATATATTAAATATTTATATAATTCATACAATTTCATAGACTACGATACAAATTTTGTTTCAAACGGCGGTTAAAGGATGCACCGACCGATCGGTTCTTTTTGCTTTTTAATTTTGACCTTGATCTGACGAAAGCAATAAGAGACACTTTTAGACATGATTTCTTAGAACAATTTGTAAAGCGATTCTGCTTTCGCCCAAATCAAGAATATTCCTTATGTGCAATTTGGGGAACGAATTTGTATACGATATCTGACAAATCCAACATACGCTCTCGCATGAGTATAAGTAATTGTATGGAAATTGTTACTTACCTTAGCATCGAACTTTTGTTAAAACAAAATCTAGACCAAAAATTTTTATATGTAATTTTTTTATTATTAAAAAATCTTATTTGACAAATCCGAACATTGTTGTGTGTTGAAAAGCCATGCATGGGATGGTAATCTTGTGGTGATAAAAAAAAAAACAAAATGTTTAAAAGTCATATCGCAATGTTAAGAAATGCATGGACTTGCCTTTTAAAGCTTTTCACCCTGTTACTGCACTCAGTGCGCGATTTTAAAGTGACCAAAGAAAATCGGGAAATTTGTTGAAGTCTTAATAGCGTAAATAAATGGATAATTGGCTATGAAACGTGTACGTTTTATATACATAACGGGCATAATTCTTATAACTGCAAATGGATGTAAAGAAGTGCATAGATAAGAGAAAATCTTATATGAAAAAAGAAAAAAAAACCGGCATAGGCCATAGACCGCGCTACCAATGTTGACAACGGGCTCATTTATTCGAAATTTTATTTATTATGATATTTATAATATTAAGTAACATGCAGATAAATAGTTACTGAAGTCCTATCTATGGCTGTATAATACGTGTACAGCAGGTTAAAAGAACTGCAGACAACGGTTGCTTTCAATCCTTATAAAATATTTTGATGTGTAGTTTCAGGCATCTGTAGAGCAAACGTATGAAAGCATTATCGATTTTTTTCACTCTCGTGCCTACAATGGAGAAGAGCATCAAAGTTCTATTGATTTTTTTCTAATTTGATGAATAAAACGGCTTTGGGCACTGAAAAAGAGAATTCTGTCATTCGGAAGACCCGAATAGTGTTTTTGTACGGCAAATTCCTCTGCGATCTAATAATATGCTCAAGGGGTAACGTCACTAGGGTAAGCTAAAAAAAAACTAATGTTTTGATCATTTCTATCTTGGATGGAACGGAAGAAATATCCGAGGATGTTATGTATATTTATTTTGAAACTTATTTAGAAAAAGCGACACCAGAGGTAAGCCTTGTTAATTTAAAGATCTCTGCGGTATTGCCAGTTTCAATTTAACAAAAAAAAACACTCCTTTGTCTACATGTCTATAATTACAGCAGTGCGTAGAGTACCCTAAAGTATGATTCTTTTATGCTTGGCGAGTATTTAATTAGACACATTCACTCTCCCTTTTCTGTCAAAAAAGTCAAATATCCCCTGCATAGCGTGCTTGCATCTTAAAGATATCCTGAAACTTCAAATGAAAAGAAGAATGGAATTTGCTTTGCAGGCGCTATACGCAACTTTCGTGAGAAATGTGTACTAGACATGTTGTTTATTGCAGGGGTACTGAGACTCTTTCTGAAATGATCTTAGCCTTAGATATTTGTTCAACGGTTTTTCGATGAGGATTCATTACTAGAGCGCTTTTGTTTTTGGAAACATGAACAAAAAACATAAACACGTTCTAAAGACATCTACCTGGGAGCAAAGAAACCAATAAACAACACACGTAACTTACCAGCGGGAAAGAGACACAGAGGAGCCTTTCGGAGTGCATTTGAAATCTGAAGAACTTGAAATTGCATTTTTTTTTCACTTATTTCAGATGATTCAAAGCATCTACTGAGCTAATAAACAGAATGTGATTTTTTGAAGATTTTGAAATAACATTACGTCTTCAAGCAATTCTTGACTAGCGTAGTAGTACAGTGATAAAGTATACACAACACCGCTTATTAGGACGATATACTATGATGTAGTAAACAATGAAATCTTATGACGACAACATCTAACCACTCCCGTTATATTTTTTTTTCTACGTACTATGCGATTATCATGTTTTCATGAAATGTTCAAATCATCTTTTGAGAATGACTGACAAATTTTGTCCGAGACCGTGTCATTCCGTGACAATTACCAAGTTGAAACCTTAAAGAAAAAGAGACGTCAGCACTTAACCTAAAAAAAAAAAACCAAAGCATGTTTGATCTTCCCATGAAAAGGCCGCCAATTTCCAAATTTTCATCTCCTTCTAAATGTATTTTCCTCGTTCCGGTTGTGGGCTAAGCAGAGTTTGAAGCTTGTTCCGCGCACATAAATTTGCTAACTTTAGGAGTTTGTCCCTTTTTGGAAATTTATAACCGCATGCACATGTCGACGACACTGTATGACTAGTCTTATGTTTTAAAACTTGGCACTTGTGCTTTGTGAGATTCAATATGAAATCTATATGAAATGAATGATTGTATGAAATAAAATGCCATGCGTAACAAATACGAATGAATTTTTTTTTTTTTTCTTAATTATTTAATTTTCATTTTTATTAACAACCATTTAATGCTCCTTGAAATAATGCAATTCTTCCGCTAATAATAATAAAATAGTAAAATGGATGATCCGCCTTAAACATTATTAGTTTCGGCTCCGGCACAAATGAACAATGACGGATACACATTCCTGCAATTGTAGGATTTTTATTGAATCTTTGTTAGTATAATAATTTTCCAAAGCTAAGAAACTTCGGATTTTAATTAAAAATTTCATTTAATAATGTTCGTCTTCTTTCAATATAATGTAATGTTAACCAGGACATTGACTTTTCGCTTTGTTTGTCTCTCGTATATTGTGTGTATAAATATTTTCGTTTAGTATGCAGTTCTGACGCGCATTCTTTCCTGATTTTCAAACTCCTGCGAATGTTAGCTAAGGAATTAGAAAACTAAATAAGTAGGAAAATTATCTCTAGATGTGACTGAATCTTTTATACTCACCGCCCTTCAATTTTAGAAACTCAAAACGAACGAAAAGACAAGTAAAATAATTGTAGTCGCCCATGGCCCACGGTTACTAAGTATCCTACAACACTTTACTTAAGATATTTAATAAGATAGACGCACCTTTTATTCTAACGGTTCAAAATTTCTGATATGATTGGAGGGTATCTGTCCGTCGGTCCGCCTTGCTTTAATTCGTTCAACCTACAGGCCACAATTTTAGATACATTTTGATGAAATTTGGCAAACTGACGTGCTCTGGCCCATGAGCCGGAACGCTGCTGAAGACTATTCGGATCGTCCACTTTCCCCCTCTCAGAAAGTGTAGTGTAAATCTAAACCCTTATATGCCCGAAAAAGCACAATTGTTAATGTTCTATGTGAAAGATTTTGTCACGAAATGCGCCAAATTTGAACGACAGGGGTGTATTTCTTGGAGCCCATTCCATAAACGATTTCTCATGAATATGGCAAACCCTTCACAAAAAGATTTCATTTTTAATATTTTATGATGGAAGTTGTGTCCTTAGTGGCAATTTAGCAGAAAAATTAATGGAAAAGAGTTTGGACCACCTACGTTTATTTGTTAGATGTGTAGGGCCTATCGTGATAGAAAATCTACTTTCTAGCTTCTTTATTACGGAAGCTGAAAAATAATACAATTCTTAGGAAGTAAATGAAGTTTGTTAGATTTTGGTCACGGTATATGATGTTTTGAGCATCCTCCCAAAACGAAAAGTATGCCCTTGCATGGATATCATGTATAATGTTTTGTGTGCTATTATCAAAACGAGTAAATGACTGTACTAGGCGAACTGGTGTAGGGTATATAAAAGTCGGCCTTGTAAACGGGCTTTAGGAAGAAATTCTTTTGAGAGTTGTTGCTTTAAACCTAAACTTTTTGGGTAAGATGTGAAATTAAGATCTAGGATTCCTTTAAAGAACTTATAGAACATTAAGAAAACTTTTAGGAAATAGTAAAAATATTTCACTAATAATGTTTTCCATGGGCAGTTGATAATTTATTTTAATTACATATACCTACAATTAATTATAACGCTTTAGCCATTTGAACGAATTTCTATTACACAAGCGTAAAAAAATCAAATGTGAGACTTAAAGTTTCTCAGAACATTTCCTCACGGAGAACAATAGATTTTGAAAATCAGAGTCAATTTACATCGTTTTCGTCTCCTATTGACAAGTCAGTTTTCAACTAATCTGATTGTGAATTCGGGCAACATATCTATCTCTGCGTTTAGAGTCTAACCTAACTACATGAAAGTTTAATAGACTGACAGCAATGAAGCGGACGTACAGGGAAACTTTTTGTTTACGCGGCCCAAAATCCGAGCAACCAAAACCGCGAATAATCGGAAGCTACTGAACTAGACAACTTACATGATATACTAGCTTTGTTGTGAGTTGCAATCACTTGGAAGTAAGTACAGCCGAGTTGAGAAAAGACGATTCGAGCAAATATAAAGACGAAAATGAATACTACTGGATCATAAACATGAAGAAGAAGAACTCATGTAAACTGAGTCAAACAAGTCAATCTAGAATTACTTAGAAAGCAAAGAGCACAAGCTTGACTGGTATTCATAGCTGACCTCCAAATGTGTTGTGGCCAACTTTTAATCCTTATTATTGAACGCCAAATGCAAACTCGAGTTTGCATTGTATTTCGGAATATCGCCAAACCTTCTTCGTTTTTATTTACTATTGTTTATAATAAGTGACGAGAACATTTTGTTTATTAGTTAATAATGCGACTTTATACAGGTTCTTGGATGTTATACTTTATTGCATATTGAATGAAATTGATTTTGAATATTGAAAGAAAAAGGACGTTTTTAAAAACATGTATATATAAACTGAAAAATAAACAATAAAATTATATTCGCCGCAGACGGATTTCGCATACCCATCAACCAACGCAAGAACAAAAGTGGAAAACTTTTTATTGACCAATCGCTTAGCGGATGTTCTCCATTTCGTGTAATAACATGGCTGTCGGAATAAAGAGAGGAAAAAGAAAGAAAAGAGGAGACGGTGACCGTAGCTTAGTGGTTGGGAGCCGTCCTCATGGTTCTTACCTACTACGGTACTCAGGCGGATAACTCGTGAAATGATCAGATTTTTAGATAATCGCGTTATATACTTCGTATTGAATTTTGAACTCGATGTCGTGCAGAGGTGATTGAATGGAAAACTTCAATGACTGGCAATTTTTGCTTCTCCTGCGTTGTATTCACAGGTTTATATTCTGGCCGATTACGTTTACATTAGATTGGGGGAAAAAGAAATCCATTATTTTTATATGAACTTCAGGACTTTATTTAACATGTTTCGGATGGTCCGATTTGGGTCAAATATGCACCGTTTTGTTGTATGATTTGTTGCCATTTTAAAGGTAACTTCATAATGCCTCTCTCATAGAAGTCCTGGTCTCTATTTGCAAAAAACTCTAGTAGTCGATTTTCACAATCCTCCCTAGATTCCAATTTTTTATCATTAAAGAAATTTTGCAATGCAAGAAAAAGATGATAACCGCTTGGTGCCAAGTCCGGACTGTATGGCGGATGCATTAAAACTTCCCAACTAAGCTCCCGAAGTTTCTGGCGAGTCACTGTAGATGTGTGTGGCCTAGAGTTGTCCTGGTGGAACACGACACCTCTCCTGTTGGCCAATTGGCTGTTAATGTATCGGAACCATAAACTCCATTCACAATTTTAGCCGCCTGGCTTGCATTTTCGCCTTTGTCAAAGAAAAACTGTAAAATGTACCGAATTTTCTCTTTGTTCACTTCCATTTTTAATACGCTGTAACTCACAACTGAATGCACCAAACAAAAAACACCAAAAGAATTTTTTTTACTGCGAAATGTCACCTTTCCAACGAGCATCTCTGAAATTGTTTGATCGATACTTTACGAGAAATCTATCAGTGCAGCCATCTACCGATAAAATAATGGATGTCGTTTTCCGCAAACTAATATTTGATATTAACGCATTTCAGATTTCTCTTTCAATTTACATAAGGTATTAGGAGCTCAAGAAATGGAGTGGGAAGGTTGATTAAATCGATTCAGACTTTTAAACTGATTGTATATATAGATGTGTGTATTGTTGTTTTTGCGTGATGGGTATAAAAATGTGTATGATATTTTACTTAAAAAATTATTTTTTGTTATTTGTTAGAATTTCCTGAGAGATCCTTTAAATAAGTCCAATCTTTTTCTATTTATAATAGCATAATAAAATGGATGGTCAGCTGTGAAACGCTCTGGAATTTCCGGTATCATAGGTGCGGATAGCAACACGAATTGTATACCTATTCGAAAGGGCGAAATATATACATAGAACAAATAAGCAAACAGTGGCAGACAATGAGTTAAAATGAATCAAAATTTTATATATTTAGTATATGTTGCGCAGATATTTAAAATGAAAGAAGAAATTTATGTTCAGTTCTAAGAGCTATGTGCAGTTAATAAAGTAGAACTGAATACCTAATATATACATAAATATATGTAAATAAAAACATGTATATAGGTGTGTGTGTATATAGTTATACAAAAAAAAAAGCCAAGCTATAGTCGGCCTTAAGAAATATAATCGGCTTAGTACATATCCTCAATATTCATCGGCTTAACAAACGCATACATAGAAACTTTTTTTGTTTCGAATTTCGGTTAATCAGTGGGTCGAGGACGATGATTTTCATTATGGGAAATATTATCTAGTGAATGTTTGGCAGAACTTTGTGAAAGGACGCAATTTATTGATGAGAAGATAACAGGAATTGTTTTTGATTCCATACATTCTCTTGTCATGCGGATCAAGTCCAATAGGAATCGAATATAAACCACATGGGTTTACGTTTCACATGAGTTCTTCCAGTCACGTGTGTACTGTTTGCAAAAACGGCAGAGCCCCACAAATACACTAATTACTTACATATTTGCGTAAAACTATGTTGTTAGGGTTAGGTATTAGTGTATATGAACATACATTTCGTTATATAATTACACGTATTATTTTAATAAATAAATATCTTTCTACATGCATCTGTAGCTTAAATACTTTATTAAGATATAATTATGCAAAACGATACAAGTACATATACATCTATGTAAACACATAATTATGGATATAATTTATAGCTCATTGCGAATATTTTGTTCCGATTCAATCGGCGCTTGAATGGCTTTGTTAATAGAACCCATAAATAATGTTAGGCTTGACAATTTTGATGATCTATGTACGATTTGATAGATAAATGGATGATCGGCGATGAATTCTTTTACATCAGTTGACTGAGTAATGTCACGTTTTCTGCGGCTTTGAATACCTATAGGCAATTAAGGAAAGGGTAAATATAAGCCACTTAAGTGCAAACTTTTAAATAGTAGTAGTGTTAAGAATAAATATGTTAAGTTTTTTCTTCTTTTGGTTAAGAACACAGATAGCAACCTAACAGGAGCATGCATTTTGATGCTTCAGGAAGGAATATTTGAAGGGAAATTCGTGTCTCTCGCGAGTGAATTGTTGGACTAAATTAAAGATGTATTACTATCCTAATTGCATTCAAATAATTTATTGAAATTCGGTAAAACTTTTCTTTATCGACATCATTAGATGTACATACAGTATAACGGTTGAGGACTTGTGTTTAACTTTTATTCTCAATTTCCTTAATTGAACCCATAAAGAACGATAAAATTGTAGTTTCTTGCTTTTTACCAATAATTTGGTAGAGAAAGGGATGATCAGCTATAAACTCATATTTGGCAGCTTTCCTTGTTTGCAATGACAAACCTAAGAATAAATAATTAATAAAACAATTCTTAAAAATAAAGAGTATTAGGCTGAGCAAGAGCAAGAGTTAACAAAACAAAGGTCAAGGTTGCGGCTTTTAACACTATGGACAATGATAATTCGGGCGAAGGTGTGTAGCATTTGCCCTCAATTTATTCTTTCGCTTGGCTTATTTTTTCGTCAAAGCAAACTTCGAAGCTTTGAAAAGCAAAATGTTGTAAAATCCTGCAAATAGCATCATAAAATTAAGTACACTTCCCCTCGTTCTATGCCCTTACATGTTTTTTTCGCATTACTGTTCTCGCGCGATAAAATTTCTACGGATCTAAGACAACAAGTTATAAGAGAAGGATGAAGTTTATCCAAGTTTCTTTTGGAGATAACCTAATATATAAAATTCTGCAGAAAGCTAAACTATATGAAGGATGCAATAAAATCTCACAGGCAACTTCTCTCAATTATTGCTCTAACCTGGAACTTTCTTCGATATTTCATAATACAAAAACAATGTTATAATCAATTTACATGTTGTTTGTGCTGGCTCAATTTGGCACGCTCTTCACCGTGAAGAACTTATTTTTCCTTATCCGGCTTTACGGTGACTTAAAATAATGGTTTGAAATCGTCCGGCATTGTGTATTTAAAAACATGACAGTGTCGAACTTTTACAGGTCTTGCCCTTCTTCTGTTCGAATAATATTTCGTTGCTTTGTAAATTTTCTGTCCATGCCGGCTGTACTCTATGGCCAGCCTATTGAAATTTTCAGTATGAAAATTATGGATTTTTACCTGAAACCGTGTAGTACTTTCGCTTATCTCGGAACAAAACGCACGGTTCTTCACGCTATGATATCTTGTGGCTGATTATAAGCATTTGCACGCTATTTCAATATCTTGTAGCTTCAAACGGCAAATGTTAAGACTTATGTTGCCTGAATCATTTGTCTTTAACGCCGATTAATCGCTTTGCAGATTGCGTAATATCGAAAACGATTTGCAAAAATATTATTATCGACGCTTTAGTATTTTTCTTAGTTGTCATCAGTTCCTCTAGCTTCTATTAAATCACTTGCTTAAGCAAAAACGTTGCGAAGGATTTTTCTGAACCAATTTTTCTACTAAATAACAAAAATGAAGGGCTCTTCTGAAGAATTTAGTACATCCCTTCAGCTTGCAATTGTTATATACGGGCGAAAACAATGTCTATGAAGTTCGCCTGTTCGGCTAATTCCGCCAAGACTGTTTGGATTTCCAATTGCCGAAGTTATTTAGAAAGAAGAATTCGCTTACTGTGAGTTAAACGCACGCAACGATAAATTCTTGTCTTGGCGACCTTCCACACGATCCCCTTTCAATTATATTACAAAGTAGAGGCCGTTCGCATAGCTATAGTGAGCACTCGATTGAGTATACATGTCCCAGAATGTGGTCATATCCTACCCTCCACACTTATCTATCTAGCCCTCTTTCCCCACTTCAATCTCCCTAACGATCACATATAGCAGATCGGTCATTAAAAAAAAGAAGCAAACAATGTAGGCTTTTATTGTACAAAAAGTTAGAAAAAAATATATGTAATCAGTAATTCTTATTGGCTTATTTTTATTTGAAGGAAAAATTTAAGACTTATACTTTCACCACTGAACCCATAAACAGAGGAATGACGTCCTTTGCTGTTATCGATTTGTGAATTATTGCATAAAAAAAGGGACGATTAGCTTTAAAATCTGGAAAAATTTGCCCTGTACGTGCTAAAGCTATGGACGCTGTTAACCAAAAGAGAAAAATAGAGAAATAGTGTTTAAGAAGGAAATGAACATTGATTGCTTTTGTAAGTGAATGCTAGAATGAACTTTCTTAGTATGAAGCTGTCCCGGGTGCAAATTTGTAAAAAGAAATTATGTAATGACACCCAAACGCTATCGATTACTGTGACACTTTGAGAACTGAATTTAATGCGTTCTGTGATTTCGATATCAATTCTTATGAAATGCATCATATTCCGGAGAAGAACCCTTGAAATAAAGTGGAGAAAAAGATCTAATACTTGGGAGAAGAGCACTATTCCGTACTTGAGGAAGCCGAGTGTGCGTACGCTAGATATGGATTGTAAGCCTCTAGTGCCATTTCCGTGGTAAGTATTTCCACAAAATAAACGTTGACAAGTCCTTTCCTTTTTTTATTGGATCGCCATGGATGTTTCGTCTGTATCCTCGGCCCTAATGACTGGTTTGCTAATTTGAACCACAATTTCTTCACCTCTTTTTGAAGCTCTTAAAAGCCACATGAATTACACTTGCGCGGGATTACTTACACAGTTGCAGGCAGCTTAGACATAACATTTTCATAGGGAATGTTCGCACAGACAAAGTAGTGTTATTTTCAGGAAAAATTACGAGGACTTTTATTCCTTTTCCTATTAATGGTTTTCAGGTTATTATCCCAAACTATCAAATATGGTACTTTTCTCCCGCTAAATAGTGCTTCTCGTGAAAAATGTTCGTCTCAAGAGTCAAGTCGTAGCGAAGTTTTTAATTTTAGATCGATTTCTTCGACTCCAGGCACACAAACGAACAGGATTTTTTGATTGGCCGTTCATACACTTTGTCCTTGTAATGATTCTTTTTCAACATTTCATGGCTGCCGTCATTTCCCCTGCATGGATGTATTGCAAACATTTTCTAATACTTTCTTTTAACCGTTTGAGTACCAAGCAGCGCGATCGCGCTGTTCAGATTTCATGTCGAGAAATACCAGACGGTTTTGAAAAAACACTGTCGAAAAATCCCAAGCAGCGCGATCGCGCTGTTTAGATTTCATGTCGAGAAATACCAGACAGTTTTGATAAAAAACTGTCGAAGAATCCCAAGCGGCGCACTACTGTAGTACTATTGTAATTGTATTGCGCTCGATTTCGACAATACGTAAGGCACCGTCAGTTGTCAACAATGCTCGAAATGTGCTGGGTTTACTCGACATAAAATCTAAACAGCGCGATCGCGCTGCTTGGGATTCTTCGACAGTGTTTTTTCAAAGCCGTTTGGTACTCAAACGGTTAATTCTCTAATGCTTACACAGCTTAAGCTCTCTCTCCACTTGCTCCTCCAGTGCATATTTCATTCCCAGCAATGAAAGAGGTTTTCTTCTTATGAAAGGGTCTTGCAGCTGTCCTATAACAAAGTTAGCGGCTTTGAAGTTAGCAAATGAAGCCGGAACCGACTTTATTATATGGACGGAACTCTTTGTTTAGCGCTAAAAACAAAATCTATCAAAATATTTGGTTAAATCGGCGAAGGCTTGACTAAGCGGATTGATGAGTTTGAAACGTCCTCTAAACAAAATTATCGCCTATGGTCAACATAATATTTGAAAAAGTTCCTTCTTTCATTCTTAAATACTTGACTGTAAGCCATGGGCTTTTTCCTAATTTGAATAGTCGCGTGACATGGGAGAGCAAAGAAAAGCATTAGCTAAGTTTTTTTCTTTCTCCAAAGGTTTGAAAATTGCTTTACATCCGATGTGAATATATTGTTAATGGAAGATGACATAAGCGAGTTATGTTAAAAGGTTTATGATTAAGAAATTTTTAACGAATATGTTTTTTCGGTGAAATGTAATGCGCTTACCAGTTGCGGCAGCTGCTTCAGTGCCTTTTTCATTTACTTCTATGAAAGCTTTATGGACGACTTTTGATACTTGCAAAGGTTCTGCGGACTTCAACATTTTACCAAACTCAGCTTGTGGGCCAAACATACGGCTGATACCCAACTGAAATGCAAATGGAATTCTTTTAGATAATTTCACGCTAATATCCACGATTTACCTGTTTGAAAGCGTCTTGCAATTCAACTTCAAATTCGGCCTTGAATTTAGGTATTTCAACTATCACTTTAGTGGCGAACATAACACTCATGATTTCCTTTAGAGATGTCGTTTTCAGCTTCTCCTCCAAGTCTTTTAGGCCTGTTCGTGAATTGGGTAAAATTATCAACATTGATAAATCCGAATCTTTATAGTCCATTTCTAAAACGGTAGCATCTAATTGCGTCAGAGAGCCATAGCGGAAACGTTGCTCAACGCGCATCATTGGTACTTTAATGGTATTGTTCTCATCTAAATAAAAATCCTTGTCACGTGTCGACCTCTCAGGAAACTTGTGGACCCATTCACCCTTAAAATGTATTGCATTCAACAAAATTAAGCGCGTATCGCTGCTTAAGCTACTAGATGATATTAAATCCTGTATACGATTGTTAGTTTTTAACGCTACCCAAGAGTTAATAGCTCTAGCGGCTTCTACGTTTGCGGAGAAATTAATTTCTTCCGCTTTCGAGAAAAACTTTTCATTCAATAACTTGTTGTATTCATCCTGAATTTCGTGGTCTTTCTGAACATAGATTTTGTTAGCAATTTTCAATATATCGCTTTTCTCGTATTGCGATAAAACGTTGTGATATAAATCAGCCATTGCGTTAAGATCATCCGTTATTAAATTTAAACCTTGGTCCAGTTCCGTGGCCGTAGAGCCTTCAGCTCCTAAGCGAGCCATGGCCGCGCAAGTTTGTATAGAGAATGGTGAGAAAATTAAATTTTTTCCGCGATTACTTGCCGCCAAGTTTGCATACAATTTTATGCCGAAATTTTCCAAACCATTGGCAAAAAGCTCTTCATTGCCAGCGACCATAGTATTAGTATTCGGTTCAGCCATGACAAAACAACTCAGTAGGTATGAAAAAATCAAAATTTTCAAATGCCTCGTAGTGTTCACTAGAAGGAAAGTAATGTGATTAAGAGGAAAAGCTTAAACATAGTCTACATAATTCTTAAATTTGTTCTAGGCTGGTATAAGTCATCAGATTTTCTCTAGAGTTTCTTGCCTAAAGTATTTCAGTTAAGTAATTCTGCTTTTATTTTTCTCGGAGATGAATATTTCTGAATATTGTCTGGCGTGAATATGCTTCTATTCAAAGAATAGTTACCATTTGGCAGTGGTGTGCAACCACTATTCACTATTAATCGAGTAGTAAATGTTGCAAATTTCTCTTGCTGGGTTGTCCAAAAACTTTTCCCATACGAATATAGTCTTTAATTCCCTGTTTATATAATGCGACGTGTTTACGCATCTGGACATCACAAGTTTGTGTTAATTTTGTTATCTTCGTATTTATTGAGTAGTAAGTAGTACAGTGTGTTTTGGTGTTTACTTTTATGCAGGCTTTATAAAGTCTATGTGCACTCAGTTGTGATGAAGAGAACCCGCCGTAAATGTCAGCTTAATAGAAAAAGCATTCTGCTTAAAGTTACCTAATAGTAGCAGCATTTTTTTGTGTAGTTTTTCTTCGAGAAGGAGGAAAAATTTTCTTTTTTGTATAATTTCTATTATACAACGAAATATTTTTGTAAAAATTTTAAGAAGATCTTCTTGCTTGTAATACTTGTTTTAAACTAAGTTTGCATGAATAGGAATCCAGCCTTTAAATCTATTTGCGATTCTTATCAAGTATTCAATTATTATGATTTGTGACAGTCTTTTCTTTTTTAATACTGAAGCTGAAAAAAAAATTGAAAAAATAACAAACACACGCAACTCTTTCTTTACACTGTCTTTTTTTACCCGATGTTGATACAATACGGTTCTCTCTTTTTCTTTTAATTCTAATTTTGACAAATTCTTACAGAAACTGGTATATCAAGAATTCTATAAGCTACTTGAGAAATCAAAAAAAAAAAAAAAAAATTTTATAACAACAACAAAAATTAACAGAAAGAAATACTTCATTCGAATCAAATCCGGCAGTTGTGTTAGACATTATTGGGTACATCTAATGATGATAGCATATTTGATCCCGCTTGTAATAAAAGTGGGCGCTGAGTAGGGACGAAATTGATTTTTATTCCTAATTTCAATTTCAATTTTCATACGCTTTAGTTAAGGACTTGATGTCCGTTGCACACTGATTTAATTCTTCTTCTTAATGTTTTTTGTAGTAAAAATGAATTGTTTTTACTCCGCATGAGTAGCCGAGTGCGGTAGAGCATTCGATACAAGCAAGCATATGATCTTATTTATCCGCTAACCATTATATGCATTCTTTCTAAATTTATTTAACAATATGTAGACAATAAATAAATAAACAATGCTTTACTTTTATTTTATAAATATGTAATATGGATTTAATTTTTTTTGCACGGTTTTTTGGGAAAATGTTTGGATTTTTTTCATCTTACACGATTTAAAATATGACGTATGTCTTTTTCAAGACGTTTTTTGCACGGTTTTCTAAGGAGCGTATTAGCCGTGTAAAAACAGAATTAGGTGTACCATACTGCAGATGAAGGAGAACAAGCACTCAATTTCAATTACGCGTTGTTACAGGTAGTTTTAAATCTATTTAAATTCCAGTTAATGCTAAGGTCTTTAGTAAAACTGGGTTAACAGGAAAGGAAAATTCTCTCGATTTAACACGATTCGTACTCCTGTACGCTACTAGGAGAACCTTCCATATCATGTCGACAATTGCGTTATGAATCGTAAGCATATCTCTTGCGAGAATTCATGGAACTTTTAAGTGGTTATATAACCTAATAATTTTTGTCAAAAGCTAACTAGATGTCTGCCAAAGATTTGCAGATTACTGGCTATAAAATTTCGAAATCTTAATTTTTGTAGTTTTTATCAGATTTTCTTTTCTTTCTTTTTCATCGCACTTTTCGTTATTAGTTTTTGCCAAACTTGACCCGAAGACTTAGACTGAACCATCCATGTGCCCAAGTCAAAAATATGTCTCAGTTCTTGTGACAAGGTGATTACAAAGCTATGTAGTCGTGATAACCACCGTTTTTATAGAAAGTCAAGAATTAAAACTCAAAGCGTATTCCTAAATCGGCTTGTACTTCATATCGTTCTCATGGAGCGAATAGTTATGAGCTATAAAATATGTAATTATAATGTATTGATCATATGATGTCGGTATATTAGATTTGTTCCTTCCTTTAGAACATGTAGAAGTACTTGGCAGAAGGCATATGCATGACGCGTATTTTTGATCTAAGTAATTTTATTCGTCTTTCTCTGTCCATCCAAAAAGAAAAAAATTTCTCTTAATAGTACCTACAAGTCGTCCCAACTTCAACTTTATTACCTGGATGATGGTAATCACTAAGTGGGCGCTAAGCCTATTTAAAAACTCAATCCGAACATTGTAATACATCAGCCAACGGACTTGCACACGATGAAGATAAATAACAACAATATTTACATATTTGTCCGAGAAAAGTCGAGTATCAAAAATTCGCCGCGAGGCGAATACAATTTCGTTGTATTGAATTCTTGAATTCTCTTGCAATATTCGATAATGCAAACATACACATATTCTATTTGAATTCTAATCATTACGGAAAAACACATCTCTCAGTGATTTCCTAGCACATTTCAGACAACTATTTAGAAAAACACTATTCTGTACAGGGGTTTATTATCAAAGTTGATAATAGCATTACAGGCAATAATCATCCAAAAACTTAAAGCATTCAAGCTGCGGTTCGCCGCAATAGTCCGGTAATGAAAATATTATCAAACAGTGAATAAAACTACTCGATGTAATTTCTTGAGACTTTTGCATTCTAGGAACGCTAACAGCAAGGTATTGAAGAGTGATCTGGTTTGGAGGATGACGCACTTTTATTTCATATAACCTATAAAATATTTTCCGTGCCTTTGGGATAACATGTTTAGATTATCTGAAAAGTATCTGGTCTGAACGTGAAGATAACAGCACTTGTATGACCCAAATTTCTGCTATTTGGACAAGCTATTGTTTTTTGAAGTGTAAGTGCGAAAATTTGAGTAACGGGCTGTCAATAAATATTTGCATTTAGCAAAAGCAACGGGAGTTCTGCATCACGTGTTCCTACGCTAAAATTTTGGCTGGTGGAATTGATAGGCGGCCGGTTACGTTCATCGATGAAAACGTCGCCCAAGGTCTTCAACTGGTCCTAGATAATCGTTCAATTAAGGTTAGCAGGGTAACAGAGGCTGTGACTATGTCTAAAGAATGTGACATAAGAAAGTGCCGAATGCAACGTGTAGTTTTTGCTCAAAGGTGTAAAAATTGTCGATATGCCTCAAGATGTTCGCATTGTCTGTTGAACATAAAGATCGTAGGTAGGTATCGGAAGGATGAAGGGACGGACAGACAAGCTTGTATGGGAAAATAAAGCGGTATAATAAAAAAGTGGTCCTTCTGTAAGTTCTTGTAAATCTGCACGAAACTAATATATAACGTAGGCTGTTAAGTGTAAGAAGACATTAAGGATTAAGAAGCAATTCTTGTGTTAAATTAAGTTTTAAGCGGGTGTCTTTCAGCTCAGAAACAAGTTGAATATTTCAATATATTTTTTGGATAATGCGTTTGGCTCATTAGCCGAATAGGTTTTTATGGGTTTGATCTAAGTTCATCAAGAAAGAGATAGCATTACTGCTAACTATGGGAATATACTAGTTCACCCCGGGCATATTTCAAAAGGGATGGAAGTTCAAGTTGCGATTTGAAAAAAGTACTTAGGATCATCTATTTTGTGATCGAGAAAGTAAAGGTAAGCAAAAGGCGGGTTTGATTGAGATTTAGATCAAATTTTTTCTTCTTAATGCATTGTTTGGACCTTGCCATTATCTTTGGAATACTATACATGCGTAATTGTACAGCGTATAGAAATTGTTAAAACGTATTGCGAAAACAATAAGTCCGTGTTTACGTTTCGTGCACGTGATGAAGCTTATGTTTGGTTACATGGCTTCCTAAATGAGAAAAGTTGACCATTTAGTCGAAAGAAAATAAATCCGTTGTTTCTAAAAAGCCCGTTCTTGCACAAAAATGAAGTTTTGGGTGTGGTTTGCAGGCTGAAAGATTGATAAATGGTTTTGCAAAACGCTGCAACATACCATACATCCTGTGGTACCATCAAATTATTGCGAGAAAAATACAATAACAATGTAATGTTGAGCATTGGCGTACTTCAATAAGCCGTGAATTCTCAATGACCTTATTTGCCAAGATTATCTGTGTTGCTAGTGAAATGAGAAGTGACTTATGTGGAAAAGCGCCAAAAATTGGCATTCCACGATTTCAGTCTTACAGAAGTTCAGATGCGCTCATTTTCACAAAATCGTTTATAACTGTCAGAATGGCATGAATTAGTTTTTGAAATAAAAAAAATTGATGTTGATATCTGTCATCGTTTAATTTTTATTACAATTTAAAACAAGTGAAAGCGCTACAATGAGTCATGGTCCATTATTAAATCACGCAACAAATAAAGCGTTATACGGGAAGTGGTCAAAAAAGTGTGCCGACCCGAACTATTTTCAGTAGGATTCTCCCTTCGTCGGTTTAAGTTAATAAAATAGCAATTATAGTTTTTGATCAGAATAATAGTCGATTAGTAGCAATTCAAAATACTAAAGCGATCGTGCTAATGTTGGATTATCAGCTGCGAATCCACTTCAGACGCATTGAGGTAGATAATGACCTAAGTAAGGAATTGCTGATAATAAATTTGTATCAACTGCAGTTCCTCAAAAAGATACTTGACCTCAAGGTAGTACATACTCTATACAAAGCCGTAGCTATTACTAAAAATAGAATCATGTTGGTGTGTGTAAATGTGAATAAAATAAAATTCCTCGTCCAATATGAAAATAAATGCAAATGAGAACAAGTAAGAAGGCCATATTCGGCGGGGGCCGAATCTCGCATACCCACCACCACTATGTTATTCGCACTCTACTATTCAAGTTCTTTTATTTGATACCCATATCGTTGATACTGTTAAGAAAAAATTACTCACGGTGTCCACCATACTCGTTTTAAAATTGACCCATTTTTATTCAGATAATATATTTGAGTTGAGGAGTACAAAATAGTTTTAATCATAAACGCTCAAAAAACCTAACTACATGTAACTTTGTGTGGGCATGGCCGAATATATCCGTTTTTGCGCGTAAACAGTACAGTATTTCGTAAAATAAACTCGGAATATTTCAGCCTGGCAACTTTAATAATTTCCGAGTAACGAGGAAAAATCCAAAATTTTTTGTTAAAAAACCGAGTTGCGTTCAATTTACGCTCCACTGCGCTGTTCTGCTCTGACCAATTTGGCCCATTTTCAATGCCAACCTGCGTGGACAAACTTCCAACGAAACTTCTACGAAATTTGAAATCGATATTTTCATTTTTGCGACCAGCAGAGTGCCAACAACACACACCACACGGATATACAGACGTGGGTAAAGCAACTCAGAATCTCAAGCTGATCAAGAATATGTACACTTTAGAGGGTCTCTGGAGCTTTCTTTTGGGAGTTACATATATTATGAAAAAAAAAAAAAAAAAAAAAAACAATATGAGAACACACCCATCTTGCAGTGGTGGGTAGTCAACCCTTATTCACATCTCGACAAATATGATTTACGCTAATAAACGCTAAGTTAATATCAGTAGTCTAATATATTGCTAAAAGTGAATCAGTTCAAATTTAAATAATTAAACATAAATGAAGTTGTGGCCCAAAATGTCATCATGAAGAGGAGGAGGAGAAATAGGAAGGAGCTGGTAAATCTACTAGTGCATTGCTGGCAATTGTGAATAGAGGATGTTGTCGTATGGTTTGATCATAGAAGTACATCTAGGGCATAAAGAAGCTTTCGGGAGTTTACTACAGCAATTAAAGGAATTCATAAATAATTTATCAATAAAATTTGTAGGGTAATTATAAAGTTTAGTATCCAAATTTTTTTATTGAAATATATTAATGTTAATAATTTACTTGAAAATTATTGTCATTATAAATAGTACAAATGAAGATAGTAATACTAAAGCTTTACTGAAAACGAAACTAATGATATAACAAAAATAAATAAATAGTGTATTATGTAAGAGTTATACACATGCAGGTTTTATCTTTTTACACAAAAAAAAGACAAAGGTTTTTAATCACACAAGAAACGTAAAAGAAGTAAGTGAAATACGGTAAACATAACATGAAAAAAAATTCTGACAATTCAAACAATGTCAAAAATGAACTTGATTAGACCATAAAAGTATTTGTATAATCAGATATAAACGCAATTGGTTTGGGGTCTAACAATTTAATCAACCAAATATTATAAAACATAATCATAATGGTAGAGGAAGGGCTAAAGTTAATGTTAAATGACTTGTTCTTGTGAAAATATATGAAATTAATTCTATAAAATTATTAAACAAAGTTATAGAAAATAGAAAAACAAAAATAAATATTGAATCATTTGGTCTTAAGGCACCTAAACGAATCTTAAATTCTTTACGTGATGATAATAAAATTATATATCAAATTATATTACAACGACGATGGTATTAATCAATATATGTAACGAATGATTAAAATTTCTAAAAATCTTCTTATTTAATTTAATGAAATATTAGTGTAGGGTATTAGGTTTATTAAATTTCATACTTTGTTAAAAATATTTCTTTTAATTAGAGTACGTTTTTTTCCTGTTTTTTATTATATTGTTTAAGTTTCTTTGTGATAAACAAATTCGTTCTATAAGCTTCGAGCTAAAAACATTTTTAAAATTAAATCAATAAAAGCCTTTTAATAAAATAAAGCTTTTTTAATTTATGGAAAAAGATTCTATAATTATATTATATTATAATTCATTATTAACAAATATTACATAATTCATCCTATCAAGGTGTCAGGCAATTCATTGCAAATTTTATAGACCTACTGGCAAATTAATCCGTTTTTTTTCTTTATACTAATAAATAATAAAGTTGTGATTTTAATATAGAAATATATAATTTTATATAAATAATTAATTTTAATATTATATATATATTTATATAAATATTGTAATTGTGTACATTAGAACAAATAACTTTATCGAATTGCTTAAAAATTTAAAAATTAAAGACGAGATTATTAGATTATATAAATTTTATTTAAACATTTATATATATAGGGTAAAAATGTAATCTTGAAGACTAATTGATATTCATTCGCGGTTTTCCGAAATATCCCGAAAGTGAGTACAGAGAAATCGGCAAAATTTTGCAAATTTTTTTAAAAAATTTTGAGAAAAAAAAACATTTGTAATTTTTAAAGTATTATTTTAATTAAATATTTTTATGCTAAGATAAGTTGATTTACTATAAATTTAATAATTTTAATTTTTTTATTTAAAAATTGAAATTTTGTTTAATAGAAAAAAGCAAAGTATTACTAAAATTATTTATATTATTAAATTGTTATATAATTTAATAATTTGTTTAGAAAAAAAAAAATTGTTTTCCTATAAAAAATCTAATTTAATAAAATAGTTGAATAGAAATATTAGGTTTTTTAAATAATTTATTAAACTAAAGTTTAGATTAAAATCTATAAAATTGAAAATTTTGGTTATGTATACTGTAACATGCAATTTTACTTAACAATTTCCGCTATGAATGCAACCTTGCATTATATGAATTGTTAGGTTCATGCACGATAAACATTCTGACATTTAAGAGATTTTGGTGTAGCTTTTGGCGGTTTGTTTTGATAGGTGAAAAAAAGGAAAAATATGGAGGTTGTGAAAGACGTAGGTAGTGTCGCGATAAATAAAAGAAGAATGCCTCGTATTAATTAGAAAAAGAAGGGAAAAATAGAAAAATGTGTTGAAATTTTTTTTTTGTGATGAGAGCAGAGAAGTTTAGAAATTTCTGCGTATCCCATAGATATCATCGACCGAAGGAGACCACTAAGTAGGGCAGGATGAAGAAATGCCCAGGGCTTAGGATGCGCCCGTTCGATATGTTTGGTTTACAACATCTTATTTCCCACGTTATTCGTTTTAATTATTCCATAAATTCGCAATAAAATTTTGGCAGGACAGCCAGTCGACTACAATAGTTGTTTTCAATTATTCGTTAGTTCGCGTTTTGTCCAAGATCCAAATGCTTGAAAAGAAAAATGGGCAAAATGTATGTCTGAATTGATCAACTCTTTTTCAAATCTTAACATTTTCGGTAAGCCTTCGATTGAACAATTCAAAGAGTAGTATAGACTGATTTCATCTCGCGAATGACATCAGTTTAGCAAATCCCTGCATACGGCTCCTTTTGACAAATCCTAGGCATAGCCGTTTGCCAAATTTCACAATCACAATATTCTCAGCGATGACGGATAAACAAGGTCTCCCAGGCGCTCAAAATACGTGGTATCTCTAAACAAAATCCATCGGTAGCAACTCATAAGCCATTTACATATAATAGAAGAAAATTGTACTACTGCTAGGTCATTGTTTAAGGAAAGGCACAACAACAAAAGAGAGTTAGTGGCTACACTAAAGGAAAAAATCGTGAATCAGTCAACAGGAACATCATCTATTACAGTAATTAAAAATTTGCATGACTCTGTGTAACAGAGGTTAAATCAATGTGACAAATTGTTGCACCTATCAACAGCAGACCGACTACAACGAGATTCAGCGACAAAAATGATGTGTCAATAGTTTCAAGAGTGATCACAATTCTAAAACATGTAGTTCGGGAAGTTGTATGAAGGCACAAAAAGGCAAAACATTTTGCTGCATTTGAAAAAAAACAAGAAAAGCCGCATAACTCTCAAAATATATCGAATCGGTCCACAAATACTCATAATGATGTGTCTACCTCAAAAGCAGTTACCATGCCATGAGCAGAAACTAATTTCGTTGCGGGGTGTCTTATTGGACGAGTTCAAGGCAGTGTTGGATTCTGACTCGCAAGTCAATACTGACACTAAACACCTCATCAAAGAGCTTCCACTTATTCCAGCCGAAGATAAACTCTGCATTGATGTTGTTGGGAAACTCCAAAAAACCTCAACCCACCGGATAAAGAAATCATCGATGCCATTCTCTGCCAAGCACCAAGTACCTTTGGGGATAGGCTTCATTGCAGCATGCACATATAGATAAAAGTAAACACCAAAACACACTGTACTACTTACTACTCAATGAATACGAAGATAAGAAAATTAACACAAACTTGTGATGTCCATATCCGTAAACACATTGCATTACATAAACAGGGAATTAAAGACTATATTCGTGTGGGAAAAGTTTTTGGACAATCCAGCAAGAGAAATTTGCAACATTTACTACTCGATTAATAGTATTCACGCCAGACAATATTCAGAAATATTCATCTCCGAGATAAATAAAAGCAGAATTTCTTAACTGAAATACTTTAGGCAAGAAACTCTAGAGAAAATCTGATGACTTATACCACCCTAGCACAAATTTAAGAATTATGTAGACTATGTTTAAGCTTTTCCTCTTAATTACATTACTTTCCTTCTAGTGAACACTACGCGGCATTTGAAAATTTTGATTTTTTCATACCTACTGAGTTGTTTTGTCATGGCTGAACCGAATACTAATACTATGGTCGCTGGCAATGAAGAGCTTTTTGCCAATGGTTTGGAAAATTTCGGCATAAAATTGTATGCAAACTTGGCGGCAAGTAATCGCGGAAAAAATTTAATTTTCTCACCATTCTCTATACAAACTTGCGCGGCCATGGCTCGCTTAGGAGCTGAAGGCTCTACGGCCACGGAACTGGACCAAGGTTTAAATTTAATAACGGATGATCTTAACGCAATGGCTGATTTATATCACAACGTTTTATCGCAATACGAGAAAAGCGATATATTGAAAATTGCTAAGAAAATCTATGTTCAGAAAGACCACGAAATTCAGGATGAATACAACAAGTTATTGAATGAAAAGTTTTTCTCGAAAGCGGAAGACATTAATTTCTCCGCAAACGTAGAAGCCGCTAGAGCTATTAACTCTTGGGTAGCGTTAAAAACTAACAATCGTATACAGGATTTAATATCATCTAGTAGCTTAAGCAGCGATACGCGCTTAATTTTGTTGAATGCAATACATTTTAAGGGTGAATGGGTCCACAAGTTTCCTGAGAGGTCGACACGTGACAAGGATTTTTATTTAGATGAGAACAATACCACTAAAGTACCAATGATGCGCGTTGAGCAACGTTTCCGCTATGGCTCTCTGACGCAATTAGATGCTACCGTTTTAGAAATGGACTATAAAGATTCGGATTTATCAATGTTGATAATTTTACCCAATTCACGAACAGGCCTAAAAGACTTGGAGGAGAAGCTGAAAACGACATCTCTAAAGGAAATCATGAGTGTTATGTTTGCCACTAAAGTGATAGTTGAAATACCTAAATTCAAATCATCTCCAAACACACATTTTGTGGGTAATACCGAATTTTCAATTTATTTGAATTATTTCTTATTTATTTTTTTAATTTTCATAACTATATTATCAAACGTTCTTCAAGTGAAATTAGTTGCGAGAAAAAACCCGAGAATACAATGAGAACGCACAAACAGTATCGTTTAGTCATACACGTACGTGCAAGCGCTTCTAAACTCAACTCTACTTTATTTTGTTTATTTTACATTAATTATGTTTACTGCTTATTTACAACAGTGTTGAGAAAAACCACAAATGCAAAGTACAGGCTTTCCCTGCTTAACAGGGCTATCTCATATGGTGCTGTTTTGAAACTGTGTTATTTTGATACCCTACACTACGTGTGCTTAAGGGCATATTAACTTTGTGCGGACATACCGGCCACCCAAAAAGATTCAATGTAGAACTATCTCTTATTATAGGGCCTAAACAGAACTTGTCTGTGCGCCTGGTGTCCGCCCGTAGTCAATCTACAAATCGCAATTGTTGAGATATTTTGGTGAAACTTGGTACACTGGCATGCCGCGTCACTCTTAAAAGAATAAAAAGCACTTCGAAACTCTAAATGGGTACGAAAAATTTGGTTTGGCTGTGAAAATTTTTTGATCCTCCTGCCATATAACCGTTCTTACGAAAACTAAATCTTTATAAAGTAAAAACACCTCATTTTCAATACTTCATGGTGAAAATTGGTTCATAATAGCAAGTTTAAGGCGAAGTCAAGCAATTCGTCAAGTCAATTTGGACCAGGTACACTCATTTTTTTTGGATTGTCGGGAAATGTAAACCCTTTAGTGCCTAATCGGTAATGTTTTATGATGAAAATGTATTCGTAAAAATAATTTGGCATAAAAATTAAGTGAACGAAACTGGAACTATAGTGTTCTCACCTGTTTCATTTAAACTAAGGTATCCTATAGATTAACTTAATTTAAACTGGCATATAGTCTTGTATCGAAATCTCACTCGCGTCGTACGAAGGTCGTACTGTAACAATAGTGTAAATCAACGCAATGTATACCTTATTGTCTAGAATATAGAATAAAATTTAATTATGAAATATCTTTGGAAATGAACATATAAATGAAAAAAAAATTAACATAGGTTTTGTAAAAAAACAAAAAAAAATTAAATTTAACATTATGATGAAATACAAAAATTAAAAATGCAATTAGAAAAATTTTTTTTTTTTTTTTTGTAAAATTTGATTAGAACTTTTTTTATCAATGTTGTTTCGAAACCGTGTTAAGCGAGGGACACATGTTTATTAAACTGTGAGCTATACTTAGATTAAAAAACCCGACACAGTGTTTAGTTACAGAAATGAAGGAAAAAAAAAAAAAACAATTTTCCGGTTTTTGATTTTGTTTATAAACAATCCACAATAATGAGCTGAAACTTGATTTCAATTCTCTCTCAATTTGCAGAGCACAATGAGTGGCATAAAGTGTATATAAAATCAGTTGCCTTTTTACATTGAAGATAATATTAACAAAAGCAGCAGCGATCAGTTCAGATGCCATATAGAAAAATACCATAAGAAATTTGTTAAAACGAAAAAAAATTGAGAAAGTATATATATTAATTAATAAAATTGATTTTTATAAAAGTAAACAATTTGCAAAGTGGAAAGAAATCTCTTGAAACGCCTAAGATTAAATCTATACAAGTGATAAATAAATAACAATGACGTTAACCGGTAACAAAGGTAAAGAAACATTTCCTATTGATTCTTTCCGAACGCACACACATTTTTGTTGCGTGAGATTTAAGATACAATATAATGTTATATTTATTGTGTAGTATAGAATAAATTCCATTTTTTCCTCCCCAAGTGCAAGAAAACGTCTAATTGGAATTCTTTAAATTTCTTATGTGCAAATGATTTGCAAGTGCAAAACACAAGTCACATTAGAGGGGTGCGTATTTTGTAAGAAGACGAGATTTTTTCAAGTCATATTGCTCCTCCGTATCCCTCGCAATAGTATTTTGTTAAAGACATCGACTCTCCGTGTTATTGGGCAGAATATAAGCTTAAAATTGATCTATATTTGGATTATTCATCCACATCCAAAACCGATCTTTGTGAAGAATTCAGTAAAGCGTGTGTACTGCAGATACACTGCTACACTTGACTTTTTAGTTCATCTTACATCAACTTTTTCACAATAATTTTTATTATATAATTGCAGGTGCCTGTCATTGCTTAGAAATATAAATTGGCCTTGATTATTGGTTCAGATGTTGCAATCATTTTTGTTTTGTAATTTGAAGTGACTTTACGAACCCGTTTTTGAAACTTGATATATATTTGTAAACAGTGGTGAAAAGTTTTTTCACTTTTTGTGGTAGGAATATAGGGGAAATAAACGGGCAAATCCACGGCCTCTTCGTCTAATATTATTACGCTTATTAACTCAATCATTTCCTTAAGGATGAAAATAATATAGTGTTGTAGTGAAGGACGCAGTGAATATCGTTTCACAAAAATAGAAAAACCATCTAATGCCTTATAAAGTATAGATATTGAACGTTTATCAGATTTTTTTGAAATTTTCAAAATTCAGAATCAAGAGAGAATGCAAAAATATAAAAATAGCTATAGGAAAACGTAGGCAACTTTTGTTTATTTTTCTATTCTGTACATAAACATATCCTCAGATTAATGTCTATTTTAAGCAAGAATAAATACTGCGATGGCGGCGTGATCCATCATCAAATACCATATGCCAGTTCGTTTAACGCAATTACTCATACAACGACCACGCTTCCCATTCATTCGTTTTTGGGCCAAAACATGTTAGTACACCAAATTTCATCAAAGTCTCTTAAATGTTGCAGTGTGTTCACGCAAAAAAACAAGCTTAGATAGTCCTTCTGGACGTTGCACACAGCCGCACACACTTAATAAAAACAAAAAATTGGGGAGAAAACGATGAAAAGTCTTTTGCTTTGAATTGCGTAATGTAAGGCTGAACAAAAGCTAGCGGGGCACACAAAAGAAAGAAAGAAGGCTTTCTTAGGGAGAAGCACTCCTTTGGATGATGTTTTTTCTTTGTAAATAAAGAAAGAAATACTAAACTACGAATGCCTCCGGCAACCACATTTCAACAGATGAAGCACAGTTTTGGCCTTATTTTCGTTAATATACATGAAGAGGACAGTTTTGTCTTTAAGTCTTAATGATTGAAGCAGCTAACTAGGCTTCTTTTTATTTAAAATGTTGGAACGAGTTTTATAAATATTAGCACATGTCGCACATCTTCGTCGATCACAAATTGAAGTTTGTGACGATTATCTGAAATCTTTGAATACGAACGACTGTGGAGTGTATATGTATCTACCTTGAAATTCCTATGAATAATTGGAAGATTGTATGACTATGAGTAATTAGAAGATTGGAGAGTTGAGTTACCGAGCAACCATTTAAAGCAAGTTATCTAAGTGGGCGTGCGAACGTAACAGACGGAAGCAAAAGTTCGTAAAAAAATTCTGCAATAAGCTATGATTTCCTACAAAGTTTTATATCGTCAAAGTAATCTACAAATGCAATGACCGTAGGATGACAGTAGTCATGTAAAGCACCTACCAAGCTTCCTTCATGAAACTTATGTTAAGTTGCTTTGACATGAATTTCACACACTCAGTTCGCAAATGATCTTGCAAGGCATCGTTATTTTCGTGTTAATAGTGAATAGAACAGAAGAAGCGATTGCTCAAGCATTTTCATTCATTTCAATTACAGATAGGGAAGAGATAGTTGGTAAATGTACAGTTTATGGATGGCTTAAGGAACTGAATTTAAGAACGCTTCTGATATCCTTTGAATGTCAACAAATAAAGCTTGTGAAAATGAGCCCGATAAGCTATAACCAACAATTCAGATTATGTTATGAAGAGCATAAGATTCGTTTTACGCCGAACGTAATGCATTTGTTTGTCTATCGAATTTCAAATGAATATTTGCTAAGGTTTCAATATCGCCAAAAAGAAAAAGTTTAGATTCATGTTGTTGCGTACCTTGGATGCCCATTAAATGTACGTGTAAATTTTTCAGATATTTTAATAAGTGAAAGAGCGTCAGTTGGCTGATTAAAATTGTCAAGTGCGCTACAGTGTTATTTGGTCCCAGCTACAATAAGTGCTCAGTCCGTAAGGGGGTAACACACAACGATTGGGCATGCGTCCACTAGGCTGCAGCCACCGCTTTCCCTATCTTTATCTCTTTATGAACGTCATTGTTGTTGTAATTGGTCATTTAAAAAAAAAAAAAGAAAGAAAGAAGACAATTCTTCCCTTGAGTTTTTGTATAATGTAATCAAATATTTTTAAAGTTTACTTTTAAATCCACCTACACCTACAGTTTTTCGGCTATAACATCTGTGTTCTTTCAACTATCATTTACGACCATCCATCCGCTAAAAAGTGTTTAACAAATTTCCTCTGAATATACATATATGCGTTCTTATGACTCAGAATGTTGTCAAGACTATGGTGTTGCAAATGGTATGATAAATCTAACGTATCCTTGTTGGGTGGTTGTTACCATAAAAGTAATCAAGTGACTAATACTTATCGAAATGATTGGCACGGAATACCAATTTGAAAGAAGATAACACATTTTGTTTAATTTGTGATACCAGGAAAGTCAAAATCACCTGTTCAAATATTTATAATAAATAAAAGTGTTTTAAGCAGAAGTAAAACTTGAACGCAAACATTTTTAACGACTACAGTGATATTCAAAACTCTATCAAAGTGAAGTATAAATCACATTATTTATTTTCTTACAGATTTGTTATTGTTCACCTTTGCCTTTGCAATATCGTTACACACAATAATGGCTAAGTCTACTGGTGCTTCCACGTCACCTAATTATAATGCTTTTGCCGCTGATCTATTTACTCTTGTGGTGGATAATAGTGTTGATCGAAATGTTGTATTTTCGCCTGCTTCCATACAGACATGTCTCACAGTAGCATATCTGGGAGCTGAAGGTGAGACAGCAGAGGAAATGCGTAACGCCTTGAAACTGGGGGAGGGCGACAAGAATGCTGTTATTAAAAAGTATGCAGAACTTGTGAAGTCATCCTTTAAATCAACGAATGCTCAAGGCGGCCCGTTATTAAAAATAGCAAATCGTGTGTTTGCTAATCACAATTTAAAGATTTCCGGAACATTTCAGAAACTGGCCAAAGAATATTTCGATACCACAGCAAAACTTTTAAATTTTGAAAATGCCGCGGAATCCGTGGCCGCAATTAACGGCTGGGTAGAAGAGCAAACTAATAACAAAATTCAAAATCTTTTGCAAGAGGATTCAGTAAATAGTGACACAAGTGCCATATTGGTGAATGCTATTTATTTTAAGGCCAAATGGACCCGGCAATTCAGTGAATCGTCGACACGTAAATCGACTTTTTACACATTAAATAACGGTCACGTGCACGTAGACCTTATGTATCAAGATGATTATTTCCGTTACGCTGATTTACCTGAATTGGACGCTACTGCTTTGGAGATGCAATACGAGAATTCCGACCTCTCAATGCTCATTATTTTGCCCAGGGAAGTTAATGGCCTTCAAAATTTGGAATCGAAGTTAAGCGGTTTCAATATAAGTCAAATAGCAGAGAGACTGGAGGGCGAACACGTTGATGTATTTCTACCAAGATTTCGCATTGAATTTGATATAGATTTAAAGGAACCGTTAAAGAAGGTAAGATGAATTATAAATGAAAATCGCCTTTCGCTTTCGAATAGTAATCAAGTGTTAATTGTTTTTTTAGATGGGTATCACATCGATGTTTTCATCGAATGCCAACCTAGCTGGTTTGTTTGTCTCCTCTGTACCACAAAAGATTTCCGAAGTTAAGCATAAAGCTTTCTTAGATGTTAATGAAGCTGGCTCCGAAGCCGCTGCTGCGACTTGTAAGTATTTTCGTTTTCTTTTTTCTTTTGCTAACAAATTGATTAACATTTTGATTGATTTCAGATTTGAAAATTGTACCAATGAGTCTGAATTTAAATCAGAAAGTATTTAGAGTTGATCATCCATTTTTCTTTGCTATACGAGATAAAACGTCCGTTTATTTTTCTGGTCATGTTGTGCAACCTTAAATATTAATTGTATTATATTGTATTATTTTTTTATATGTAAATTTCGTTTAAAGATTATTTTATAAATAAATTACATTTTCTAGGCGAAATGAATTTCATATCACTTTTTTGAAAAATACTAACAAAGGCGTACAACCAGGATTTGTGGGTTCAAATTGAACGAAGTCTCAATATATCTTAATTGCTTAGTATTTGCATATTATCTATTATTAAAGTTGGAAATATTTTTTCATAAGTAATATAGAAAATTATTTCACATATGAGGCGAAACCACGTATCGATAGTCGATTGGCGATTACGTCATTAATAATATGTATTTACAGTATTCTCTGTTGGAAATCACCCTTTGTGGTAAAAAGAGATTTTCTAGCTAGTTACAGTCCGGCAAATTAAGTTTTTTTTAGTATTCTCATAATAATTTAAGTCTCTTTTCCCTATACGCCTTACGCAGTTGCGCGGCGTATTCTAAACTTATTGTTCAATTTGCAATCCATTCGAACACTTGTTGCAGGACTTTTGCTAATTTAGATTGCGATGCTGTAAATCAATTGGTGTGTTTGTCTGCAGTGTGTATTGTCGCGTAGACCTATTTGTGTTGAAAACATGAGCGAGGTTACACAGGAATTGAAAAAAAAGAATTCGTTTCTTATCTCATATTCAATAAGTCGTGTTAAGATAATAATAATTTGAGGCAGTAAGTATCGAAGCCGGAAAATTTCTAATTAGGCAATAACAAGACAACTAAATGACGCGATGGTTCAACAATTTCTTCAAAATTCAAACTAGGAGATTATTTTGGACTTTTTGTGTTTTTGTTGTCAATAACCGCCGTAGCCACGCGGCTGATTAAAAGCCATTTGGATGTTTGCTATTTCATTCTTATTATTTATATGGGTACACGTTTTGTGTAACCATTATACGGCATTACACAGAGAGTATATCGAAGGATTCTGAATTTTATTTAAATTTTTCAAAATTTTTGTAAAAATTTGCTATGAAGAGATTGCGGAATATTCTCTATGATATAAATAGGTTACGTGTCGTGTACAATAACTCATATATGATGTGAGAAATTTCAAATATATAACATATACACAAGCAAATATATAACATATATAAAAGCAAAGTAAACAAATAATTTTAATATGTGCATGAATAATAAGTAAGTTAGCTAAAGATAAATTATTCCTGCAATATACGAACAAACTAATGCAAAAGATCGCAAATGCAGGGTTGGTCTCCTTATTTGCAGCTATTACTGATAGCAGTATAGGTTGGTGATGAATTTCATAAGAATGATTTTATTTTTGAAAGACTTTTAGTATGATCTGTGGTCTTTTATGAAAAGTCTGCAATAATCTCCTTGTTTAAGTGTTGAGCAAAACATTGGACCCTCTTGCATTTAGTTGTTTCTGGTAATAAGTGACCAAGTGAGTATAAGAGAACAAATGAGCACAATTGACCGCAAATAGAGGGCTATTCTCTGTATTTGTAGTTATTACTCATAACACATCGTTGATGAATTTCATAATGAACTTATTTTTGAAAAATTTGTAATAAAATTTCTATATTCTTTTTTCCATTTTAATTAATTATTTTATATTAGTGTTATTTTTACTTATTTTTGTATTACTTACGATAGTAAGACAAAACACGTTTTAGTTTGCTTTTTGGGAAATATTCACTCAGTTCATGCATCCGATGCGATGAAGTCAAATGGAGCACAGTTTTGTTTATTTTTAATTATACTTGCAGCACAAAAGATCTGCAATGAATTTCACAAATGTAACGCTTAGTTAAAATGAATTTCTTTATAATAAACTTTAGATATTGGTGTTTTTTATTATTAAAATTAAATATTTTTTATTTATTTGCTTTCTAATACTTACGAACGCAACACAAAGCACTTATTATTTTAATTCGCAAACTCTGTATTCAAGCCTTACGCATCCGGCATCAAAATGGTAATAAACATAGTAAGCAGTAAAACTAAAGTTGTTTTCCTTTGCCATATGTTTCACTCTTGAGAGACAGAGTTGCCAAGCTTCCCAGTTTAGTTTATAGAAGAATATAGGAATACCCTAATGGCATGGCAAATTAAAGCCCGAAAATTGCAGAGAGCCCACAAAGGGAGGCCCAATGCATGTGTGCGTGTGTAAAGAGTGTAAAGATTCGTGAAAATATTTTTATTATTAGAGATTAGGCTAGTTTGTAATGTGCAATGTGTGTATGCAATGGCAATTCACGATTAATTAATAATAAAGCAAAGAGAAAAAGGTTCGACGGCTGTACGATCTTACTTTGCTTGACTCGAGGACGTCTACTCAACGAATATACGACTTCAGAACTTGATTTGCGGACTTTCACTTAACGACTGTTTCTCTGGGCTTCTTTCCAACGTTTCTCCGCTCCTTATATTCTCCACTGTGTACTGATACTGCTGTTCTTGTTTGTGAGTAGAGAGCAAGAAAACCCGAAAGCTATGTTCCACTATAGATGTGTCCTTTGACCGATTTGACCCGTTTGATATATCAATCCATCTGCAAGAACTTTCAATGTTTTCGCCATATTTGAAGGCAATGTCTTTATTTCTGTGAATAAGAAAACGCTTATCGCAGATATTACAAAGGCAGAGAGAAATTTGGTATTGGTGAGATATATGTATAATTTGTACGCTCTCCCCTGCTGTCTGCTGAGTATTGCAAACATATCGATAAACTAAACATGCACTCATCCTTCGTTGGTGGATATAAAAAGAAAATAATTCGTGCCAAAAGATTTTATTAAAAGAAGAAAATTATTAACACACACACACACATACATCCACCCATAATTCACATTTGTTTGTGGGTTACATTTTTTGTGCAGTTAGCTGCTGTTGCTGACTGAGTTCTTGCTCTGCAGTTTCTTGCAGCATTAAATACTTTTACTGCTTTTGTCGACCACAGGGCCAGCAGACATACTTGCCTCACACGTCTCATCTGACTTGTACAACCTGGCACGGTTGGTAATTTCCATAAATATTGCCATGCAACTCAGGGTCTTTACAATCTTTCTTTCATCCTCTAGGTGCTCCCATATTCAACGTTGAAGCTTTTCCTTTTTATAACGCTTATCTTCTTGAGCAATTGTCACTATAAAACTCTAAGCTATGAATCTGAGACTAACAAATTTTTCTTTGTAGACAACAATCGCTTGAAGTTTAATGAAAGTCATTAATTTCTGGACTTGTTTTCTACACTTCCAGGCTTGGTTTGTTCGTATCTGTACGCAACTACTGCTTAAAGTCTTAAAAAATGAAATATTTTTAATATATATTTTTCTTTTCTAGTTCTGTTTTTACACCCCCCTCCTGTTACTTGCCATTAGTCTGTCTCTCTTCTCGAATTTTATATTAAGCACACTGAAAATAATTAATTAATTAATTATTCTTAAAGCGGCACAATACATGCAAAACAAATGAGAACGAATATATGCTTATTCTTAAAGCGGCACAATACATGCAAAACAATTGAGAACGAATATATGCTTATTCTCAAAGCGGCACAATACATGCACAACAGTAAGAGAATAAGCGTATATATTCTCAATAATTCGAAAAATGAGAGAATAAGCGTCCAATTTGTTTACATTTGTTGAATAATTGTTCATATTTACATGCTTTTCATCCTTGGTCCACGATAACTGAATTTTAAACTTAATAACCATAAATAATAATAATAAACTTAAATACCATAATTTCGATTCTCAAGAAATATGTTGATCTGATCAGTAAATGCCTTATTTTCTATATTAAACCCGTTTCTATATAAACCCAGTTAATTTATGGTTTGAACTGTTGCCATTTGGCAGCGCCTAAGTTCCTTTAATGTTTTGTAATTTGTATAAAAACATAAGTATAAAAATGCAAAGAAACCATGTATCAAGTGGATCAAATTGGCCTCAACATTATATGGGTGCAGATTTTCTCAGGTCGAAATTTTGCTTTCTATGGAGCGTGATTTGTATTTACGGTTAATGTCCTTTTGCAACTCGCTGATTAAAAACCTCGCATCACTTTTGCTCTCACAAGAGAAGGCTTGAAAGTAACGGAACATTGTTGTATTTTCCAAATATTTGACATGATCAGTATTGCGGACGTTTATCTCAAGCATAATAGGTTGCTTCAAATAAGTTCTCGTTCTTTTTTATCCACTTCGTGACTTCGGATACATCGTTGAAATTTTGTTGTAAAAACATCGGCCACATTTTCTAAACTTTAATTTGTTGCTTTACATTACCTATTATCTTCAACTTCTGATGCAGCATGATTTTGATTTAAATACTTCAGCTCGGCCTTTTAAGGTTCAGCGCTCTGATTACAGGCATTGGATAATTCAGAATCGGATAGACGTTCAATTTGAACATTTTACAAATTCTGCACGTGAACTTCTAATAACTCGGCAGCATTCTGCAAATCTTCTTATTGTTGAGATTACTCGCATTTGCTTATCCAAAAGTCAATCTTTTTATTATTTATCATTACATGTTAGTCTTCGATTTTCTTAACATTTTCACTTTATTTTTCTCAGCTTGTTTCAAATCTTGTTTCTTGTCTTCCATCTGCATGTTTAGTTGAGTAGGAAGATTGCCAAATTCCCACGTTTTCCTTATCAATATTTGCTAATAGCTTTTCAGCCAATTTCCAGTCTTTAGCACGTTCTGTAAGATTTGCGGAGAACTCGTCGGTTTCGAGTTTAGCTCTTTTATTGTTACAAGCAATCAGTTTTTCTCCAATTTTTTGAACATTAAATCGATGCACTGCTTCCCCGTCGTACACTTCTACCGATATTGTAATGGATGAACGACCGTTTTTAATGTAATCCGAGTCTGTCCTACTGCCCGTCTGATGTCGGTCCATGCATTTTTGCGTTTAAGCTACATGTTATGGAATTTGATGCATTGGCGTGCTTTCGACCATTTTAACCAACTCCCCACACAACTTCTGGCTATAATATTTTCCAAAAATTACTTTGCTAATATTTTGGTTTCAGTTATGATATTTTGCTTTATTCCACCTTTTAATAAGCTATTCGATATCAATTTTATAGTCGAAGGAATTTTCATCCGTCAGTCGTCATTTCAGTCGACCGGTTTAATTTCGCTACCGAGCTTGTCGACTTCACACTGAACTCGACATAGACGGCAATAAGCGTTCCGCAGTCGCGTTTACGGATCGTAGACGAACGCTGCA